ATCAGAAATAAAGATTTTTCAACCCCCCTTCGATTGATACCCATATTTAAATAATTCATTTAACTTATTTAATAACTTGAATTTAATTTTTAAACAGGTGGCAACCCTCCTCCAACACCTTAAAAATATTTTGTGTTCAAACTAAAGTCTTCTTAATATTCTTTCGTTTCACATCATTATTTTGACATTTCATATAACTTCTGCAACTGCAATAAGGTGGCAACCCTCTTCAATATATTTTCAAACGGCCACCTTTTGAAGCCCCTTTCGTTATGCGCCCATATGTTGAAACATATTTCTCCTAATTAATTTTCTTAATTCAAATTGAATTTAAGTATTTAAACAGGTGGCAACCCTCCTAAAGTTAAGATAAGAAACAAATATTTTCAAAACCCTTTCCACTGATTTTTAAAATTCAAAATGGCGGATCCAGTTTTAAACATTGTCAAGGGTTAAAACACGTTTCCAGTGGGTTTCTGGGGTTGCTGATTACGAATCTGATGTCAGATTTTCCAAATCCAAAATGGTGGATACAAAATGGCGACCAACTTTAAAAAAATGATTGGATTTGTTTGAAACTCTTAACCGCCATATTGGATCCGCCATTTTGAATTTAAAAAAAATTGACTTCAGATTCGTAATCGGCGACCCCAAAAACTCTCGAGTGCCGGGTTTCGAACAAATCCAATCAATTTTAAAAAAATTTACCGCCATTTTGGATCCGCCATTTTGAATTTCGAAAAACTGACTTCAGATTCCTAATTAGCAACCCCAGAAATCCCCTCTTAACAAGTTCCATCCCATGACAATGCGTAAATCGTTCAGTATCAACGTTTTAATTTTACTAGTCTCTTTTCAAGAGCATATTTTCGGTCACTAGACCCATTCTAATTGCCCAACACAGGTATGTAATTAAGGGAATGTTCCCCAATAAAACCAGAGTAATTATATGTAAAAACCACATTTTTAGCTGCATTTTAACATGTCAAGATAATAAAAAAATTGAGAACATAAGCGTTTTTATAAAAAACCGACCAACGCGGCCTCTAAGAAAACTTTTTTTTTTCCAAATAAAAAGTACGTGTCTCGTTTTTTATCACAAATAACAATAATTTGAGGTAGCGTTTATGAATTTCCGAAAAAAAATTTTTGAACCACTCTAATATTCAATTGTTCTACAGGTGGCAACTCCTTTCGAAAAAATAAAACCAGTTTGCACATCTACAGGCCAAGCGCTTTAATTTGACAACCAATTTTTTGAAAATCGAACGAACGGTGCAGATTTTTTATGCGGAACAAAAAATGCCTTCGCGTATTATTTTGAACTTAATTTTTTAAAAGGTGGCAACTCTTTTCGAAAAATTTAAGCCTTATTGCACACCTAAAGTCAGAGCCCTTTGATTTGACACCTCACTTTTGAAAATCGAACGAACGGTGTGGATCTGATGGCATCGATTATTAAATTATATGAATGCAATTTTTTATCAGGTGGCAACTCTTTTCGAAAAAGTAAAACCTTATTGCACATCTACAGACCAAGCGCTTTACTTTGACATCTCATTTTTGAAAATCGGGCGAACGGTACAGATCTTTTATGCTGCACAAAAAATCCCTTCGCGTATTATATATATAGATATGTATTTTTTATGGACGGCAAAAAATTGTACATTTTATTTTATTTTGGACCTTTTTGTTTGCGTATTGTAGTACACAAATTTTTGATGAAGTGGCAACCATGTTTGAAACATTGGCATAGGTACGCGTAATATTAGCGTTAGGAGTCATAGTGAGAGAGCCGCATTGGTCACTGTTCGCCAGGGATGAAAAATGGAAATTTCAGATTGTACCTAATATCATAAAATAAATTTACCTAAATGAGACAGATTGTACCTAAAAGAAGTTACATCAGTAATTTGTAGTTTTTTTTTATTAATTTTATTTAAAACATGAATACAAAAGATGGACGTACTTTAAACATGATTAGGTTTTTTTTTTTAAACTGAGCCTATATCTATAGACTATAGTCTAATGGGAATAGGAGAAGCGTTGTTTTTGTCTAATTTTGACAACTGAAAAATATTGGCGAAAAATACAAAAAATACACTTTGCGAAGTATACTTCTTTATCCAGCTTCTTATAAAACAACAGGAAAGGTCTGCTAATTTATCCAATTCCTTTTAATAGGTGCAGCAAGTCAAGAGAAAATAATCAAATTACCGAAAGTAACTTTGTGAATATATTTCCAGAAATCAAAAAGCGAATATGGGTCAAATAGCTATAGTTCTCATCTAAAGAAAATATGAGATTTGAAGACGAATAAAGGCTGGTTGGTTTTCATTATGTCATATTTTGGCAACAAAATTTGTCGACATATTTGGCACAACTTTCTTTCCTTTATCCCTACCTTTATCGATGGTATTATGGGCCAAAAACTTACAAATAGCCGCTTTAGCAGCGCATGTACACGCCTGAAGGCCTATTCTGATCTAAATCGATCAAAAGACCATATTTTAGTCCCATTTAACAATTTCGTTTCCACTCATTTGACCGCAAATGCCATTGAATTTGACTTAGTGAAAATAAGCTTTAAAATTTGTAGAAAAAAATACGAATTTGAGGATAGCTAAGTAAAGTGTTAATTTTTCGTATTGGCTGCTCTAAATGCAAAATGTTGAAGAGAATATATAATATGACTTTTTTGGTTTCTTCCTTTTGACCACTTTTCTTTAAAATTGTTTATTCTTCAAAATCAAAGTGAAGCAAGCAAAAAATATAATAGCACGGTAAAGGAAAAAGAAAAGGAAAACTAAAAATGTATCTGATCAAAAGATGATTGTACCTAAAATCTAGTGAATGTACCTAATATAACTAAGTCATTAAACGTCGGAAAAGGGTACAATTGTACCTACTTTTTCATCCCTGCTGTTCGCTTTCCATTGCCATTAGCAGCTGGCCCAACAGGAGAAACACTTGGGGAAACAACGTCAGCAGAGAAACTGTATACTCTCACAATTGCTGTCATTGGCGACGCAACAAGGTTAGAACTCTAAACAGTACTTTTGATGGCATTGTTGCCAATGGCGATACTTTGTGTGGTTGAATTTATTTGAGTTTTTAATAATTCTATCTGCACAAAAATAGCGTTGAATTTCGAATCAAGAACATTTATCGCTGTTTCTTAGCCTTGTTTAGAGCCGAATCGAAAGCTTGGAAAATCGATTTCTCTGAATCCTCTTTTCAAAATATGTTCGGTTTTTAAAATCGGATGAAAAATAGTCAAGCTGTTAGTAGATAATTGCATCAAGTATGAACATAGCGGTTGTTTTTAAGTAATAAAAAATGGAGGGTTCAGGAACTATACCGAACCTATTTTCACTACACTAGATTTTGTTTCGAGCGCATTTCATGACTTCTTTCTAGCACCGTGTTATTATTCAAATTGTTTCACGAAACAAATGCAGTGTTGCCAGTTTAGTCGTTTTCCGGCTAGATTTAGCCGGTAGCGATAGCAAACAGCTGGAGAAAATTTGGTTTAGCCGGCAGCCAATTTGTTAGCCGTTATGCAAAAAAAATTAGCTGTTTTCAGCCAATTTTACTATAGGCCTAACTTTCTTAATATTACAATATACATATAAGTTTCCTTTTTTTACAACTTTAGCGATCCAAAACCTATTAGAAATGGCTAGCCTTATCACGGTGAAAATTTTCATGTCGGACTGTTATATAAAATTGAGAAACTTTTTTCTAATCCGGAAGTCCTAAAATACTGAGCCGATTTCAATGATTTTCGTTTTAAGCGAATATAGTGTGACCCATATACATATAAACTGGGACACGACATTTTAGCAAGTTTTGGCTATTTTTCTTTATTTTATTTAATGGTTATTATTTTTGTAATGAAAATGTAGCTGATTACTTAAAAAACACCATTTAAAAACAAATTTCATACTTTGTGGAAAAATTATGATAATTATGCAAATTTTCACAAACATTTTTAACTTTTTAATCAGCATCTTTAAAAATTATAAATTTTAGTATAATAGAGTAATTAGCACGTTGACTTTTGGCAATTATTTTGTTGACGGTGTTCCACATTTTTCTCCCATATAAAGAAATTGGTAGAACGTACTTTGTATGGAAAAAATGCGTAACACCGTCATACAAAAAATTCCGAAAATCAACGGTAGGTCCTAGCTACTTCAAATTTGCACCGTATTATATTAAAATTTAATAGACTATAAAACTACGTACCATAATTTTTCTAAAGATGCAAATTAAAAAGATAAAAATTTTGGTGAAATTTTGAAGAATTTTCATATTTTTCGCACAAAGTTTGAAGTTTGGATTTATATGGTGTTTGCTAAGTAATCAGCTATGTATTTACGAAAAAAACATTAAATCAACTAAAAAAATTTCAAATTTCTCTGGGAATACGATATCTGTGAACAATTATATCAGGAATGTGCAAAGCGGTCATTGAAAAATGTGAACGTTTCGTATATATGGACCTAAAAATCAAATTTAATAGTTTAATCGTTAAACATAAAAAGCTACCTGCTTTTTCGATATATGTAAATGGATGGCGTTGTATTTTTTCGAAATAATGGTGCCTCAGCCCTTTAACAGCTTTACGTGTTCATTTCTTAAGATATTGCCCTCCAACTAAGCAAAAGTGTAATACTTTCTAATAATATAGCCATTTTGAAGGACAAAGGTAATCTTTTTCAATAGAAAAGAAAACGTCATAAGTTTGTAATTGGTCTTTTTTTTGTACTTACATAAGTAATACAAACATGACTTCTGATGCAAAGCTTAGCTACGTATAACGACAGTTTCCTTTATTAAACTTGTGATTTATTTAAATAAAACATGTGAATTTTAGTTGAAACATTTTAGCCGCCTTTTTTGGCCAATTTAGCCGGTCGGCCCAAAAAGTTCTGGCAACAGTGAACAAATACTCCCTCATTGAAAGTACTGTAGATGAAAAAATATTTACATACCTGCAAGAAATTAATGTAAGGTGTTAGAACATCTCTACTCAAAAAGTAGGCGAACAATTCCTCCGTAAGAATAATTGCTGCGTTTTC